TCGTTGCCTATGATCTTGGTGCTGCCCACTCTGTCATGGTGCACGAGTTCGTTCTGCTCGCCAAGTGCACGGGCCTGTTCTTTCACCCCGCGAAGTGCCAGTTTGTGTTGCCGCGCGACCGTGCGGAATGCGCCTTCCGCAAAGACTGCAGGGAAAAACGAATCCGCCTCAAATCCTCCAAAATCGGTCGTGCTGGGCTTTACCTTGGGGTCTTCCTGGGTCTCGAGGGTGCTTCTTTGAGATGGCAAGGCCCGTGTCGGGCCCTCCTCCGTCGTGCCAGGTATGTTATAAGCTTCTGTTTAGGCCTTGCAGGAAATATTCACATGTATAACGTCTACTGTCAGCCCGTCCTACAACACGTTGCCCAGTTTTACCCCATCACTGATACTGTTCGAGTTGCTGAGCGCGAGGCTCTCCAGCAACTTCCAGTGGCTCCGCGGTTCTCGCTGTCCAGTGCGATTCTATGTGACCTGAAGCTTTTTGGTATCACATGTGAAGCTCGAGCAGTGGAGCCCAGCGCCCGTGCCGCCCTGTTCCGCGCCGCTCTGCGTTCTGATGAGTTTGCTCACGGTCGAGAATATCTGGAAGAGTTTACTCGACATGATGGTTGTGAGCTGTTTTATGAGATATCCCACGTACCGGAGTTCGTCCTTCATTCAAATGCGTACCAACTTCGAGTCCTTTATCGACATGCCCTGTATCCCCACTGAGCTCATTGATGGCCTCCAGAGTAAAATTGTGAGATTCCTGTCTCGTCACCTCTACCCCCTCCCCTCTGCACGCTCTTTTGGTGCCCGTCTGAACTACTGGTGCCCCCTCTCCCCTCAGCAATGTGATTTAACGATGACACGACTATGTAGGATTGGTCAGAAACTCGGTTCCTGTGTAGCGAGCTCAGTGTTAAAGACGCTGTGCAATGCTGGGGCCACTTCTCGTCGGTTCCGTGCGGGCCGTGCTGGATGCAGGTTTGGTTGCTATGCAGTAGGAGGAGACGACATCCTCCATTATTTTGCGTGCCCGAATCTGGTCCCCCGTGTCCGTGAGTGTCTTCCACGCCTTCCCCCGTGCTGGGGTACGGATCCTATCTCCTCGTTTGTCCTCGCGCTTGTCCCTCTCATCGATTCTGATTGCCTGCTCAGTGTCGGTCTAGCCATAGATGCCTTGCATGCCACTTTCAACGCCCAGAGGTCTTCTGGGTCTGTCGGTCCCAGGTCAGCCCGGCTTTCACTGTCTGCCCGACTGCGGGCTCAAGCAGTCCGATGCTCTGTAGCACGACCTCTAGTACGAGGTCTTCGAGGCGCGGGGTTGGACGGTTAGCGGACGGACGTTCTTGCCCTCTTCTCGCCCTTTTGCCCGCTCGCCCTCGTCTCGTTCTTCCAAGCCGAGTCATGTGTCGTCGGGGGCGGTCCTGCCTTCCTTGCGTTTGCGCCCCCTTCTGGGGGGTGGCGTCCGATGGTAGTGGCGCGGTACTCCGTCCCCCCGCCCCTCGCCTCCCGCGTTTCCTCCCTTTGCTTTCCTTCTCCTCCTGTGTCGATCGGTCGCGGGTGATTTAATTAAAATAGTGCAGGCGGGCTCTTTGCCCAGCTCGGGGCGCTCGCCCACTCAGAAGCCTCTGCCCCTCCGTTCCGCTGGGGTGGACGCCGCTAGCGGCTACGGTGCGCCACGATCGTCCTACCAATTCCCTTTTTTAGTGTTCCTTGCTCCAGATTGGGACTGTTAGTTTTGTCCGAGTGTGGATGGCCCGTGGAGCTCTTGGCTGTGACCTAGCGTCCATCTGATCTCGTTTCTCCGGCGCCCTGTCCCCTTCCCTTCTCGTTTCTCTTTGTTTTTCTTTCTCTCTTTCTATCTCTCTCTCTCTGTCTCCTCTTGCTACCCTTAGATCGGCAATGCAATGGTTCACTTGCTGTGCTGAGTGGGGTCGCGCACGTCCCTCGGCTTCTCAGATTATCCTCCCTCCTTCTGCGCTTCTGTGGCCAGTGCTTTATTTTTCCCTGGCAGGTGCCAGAGTTTAAAGCAGTCGCGCGTGGGACAGCCAAAACGTTGGCGGCTGAGTTACCCTCGCTCCATCGTCGGCCTCCTCTGCTCCGCCTCCTGTTTGATTTTTTTTTTTTTGCAGACCCACCGCGCGGTGGTCGCGTAGCGATGCGCCCGCATCTGCGTCGCGTTTGCGGCGCATCCGCAGAGACATCCGTGCGCGCGCGTGTCCAGTCGCGCAGCGAGGCGCCATCATTTTCGCGGATCGAGACCGCGGCGCCGGGAAAAAACAACAAACGCAAAAATGATTCACGGTCCAGTTGGCGCGTTCACGTGTGGGCGGGGCGGGAGCGGGCATATTTGCGCACGCCCGTCACGCGGACAGCGGTTCTACAGAGAAATCAGCGCGCTTCTGCACCACCGCCCCACAGCCCCTATAACCGCACTGGCTCACGGCTCGCAGTGTTTGATGATAGGACTAGGCCCTGCGCTACACACGGCTGCACAGGGTTGGGCCCTTAGGCGGGGATCGAGTCTCTTCTGGCAAAACATTTAGCGTGTGCGTGCCCACCCACCGTATTCGGTGTGCCGCTTCCGCAGAAGAGGAATAACAGTGGCGGGATAACAGGAGTCTCGTGAAACGGAGTTGACGTAGGATATGTCCTAGAAGAGAGCAGGATAGGTGGAGTTGGAGGAGACGGTCGAGGAGGAGGATGAAAAAGAGAAGGAGGAGGAGGCACAGGAGCCAACCACGTGGTGTGCGGGAATTCTCGCGCAAGACAGGTACGGACATTCCCTGATGTGGGGGAGCTCCTGGCGCGGACAACGCAAACAAAACAGTGTATGAACCTCGTCCGTCTCCAGTACAGTGCACGGGGCCCTTCTTGTTTGGGGGGAAACAGGCGTGCATGTTCCACATGTGGCGTACGCGATGCAGCCAGCCCCGTCGTAGCTGGTTCATTTTCTTCTATGCAGGAGGGCCACTGGATATCGTGTGGCCACGCTGGGGTGTCCCCCCTGTTCTTCTGGGGTGATCCCCTTCTGTTCTTGGAGTGCTCCACACCTGAAGAGCCACGCAGTCGAGCGCATGCCTAAATATGATGCAGCGCAGGATGTTGCGAAGCTGCGCAGTGAACTTCAATGCGTGCGATATGCATCACACGTGGAGGAACTGACGTCATGACATGTACGGCGCTCGTTGCGAACTTACACCACCAAAGGTTCAGTCAAGATCGTTCAGAGCAACGCATAGCGACGCGATGCGCAAGCCAGGGACATAGCACAGCAACATATCGCACAGCAGCGCAAATCATATCACGACGCCGCAGGGCAAAAATCAACGTCACAGCAACACAGCACACGAGTCCAAATTAGGCACACCACTCTATTGCACAGCGCTGGGGTACACACAACACGAGACTCACGCAACTCATGCGGTAAACGTTTCCGCACACATACACGCATGTATGGCCAATCCCGTCTCTGGGCCAGGCCTTTTGCGTCCTTGTGGGGTCGTCTTGGGGTGCTTCTCGAGTGCCTTCTGGAAGGCCTCGTGGGGGCCCCTTGGAGGCTTCTTGGATGCCCCTTCTTGGCGGTCTCTGGAGCATTCTTGGAGGAAAGGGCTCATCATGTCACTTCGAGTTCCCCCTCTTGGGCTCGTGGAGTCGTCTTAGGGGGGCTCGGGCCCTCTCGGGGGCCTCGGTGACCGTCTTAGAGCGACTTTTGGGGCCTCTTGGGCCGTCTTGGGTGCTCTTGAGACCGAGAAGCCGGGCACGACTGGACCGTACAATCAGGCCTGTTCGGAGAGGGTGCCCTCGTGTTCTTCGTGCTTGTTGGATGGTCTTGTGCATCTTGGGGAGGGTACCCTGGGATGTTCTGTGTGTTGTGGCAGGCGGGAAGTCTCATGTTCTTGAAGGGTGCTCTTCGGTCCGAGGTCCCGCTATATGCTGAACTCGCTCTGACCTGTTCTGTTTCGTATGATGCTTGCCTCCTGGGCTTGCCCCGGGGGTTCCAAGACTTCCCAAGGTGCGCCCACGAGATCGCCAGGACGGAGCCTGAGACTATCTGGGGCCATGTTGGAAGTGTGGAGCCCCAAGCCACCCTCCCGAAGCCTCTGAACAAGGTACGCGAGCCGCACTGAGAGCGCCACAAGAGCACAGGGAATTCCAGGCCCTGGGCCGCTTGAGGAGTATGCCCAACACTCAACACAGAACTCGAAGGGACCCGAGGGCACTCCACTCAGTGCAGGTGGCACGCGTGCCAGGAGCTGAAGTTGATTTACTCGACCACCTAACGCGCGTTATGCAGTCTCCGACCCACCCACCCACCAAGTAGATAACATAACGCTCTCCACTTCATCCACCCCGTTGCAGCAGCGCCTGTAGGGTAGCGCGTATGCTGTTCGTAGTGTTCGCGCAACGTGTTATGTTATGTGCCAGCGAACCCACCCACCCACCCAGCCACAACGCGCGTTATGTGGTTTCGCAAAAGCTTGAGCTCCAGGGGAAAGCCCCCCCGAGGCTTGGACACCCCTTGCCCCACTGGGGTGCTGGGGCGGGGCCGGCCGCCAGGGGGTCCAACAGGTTCCAAGACGTCCCTAAGAAGGCCAGAGATCGCCCTAAAATCGAGTCGGGCCTGTCCCTCCACAGGAGGAATGGTCAAAAATAGTCTGGAGACGATGTTGGGACTAGTTTTGAGCGTGTTTGCAATTTTTCAAGTTCATTTAGCATTTTTCGGCCAAAGTCAACCTGTCTGACATGCCCGACCTAACCCTGAAACGGCTTCCTGAGGCAAGCGCCCTAGGACGGTCCGAGTGGCCTCCGAGCCGACTCGAGACGACCAAAGGGTCTTCGGTGGCTCACAAGAGGCTCCAAGAGAGGCTGCAAGATGCTTCGAGGGAGGCACAACGCATTCAAAGTTAGACAATGTCAGAAACCGTATGTCTCCCAATGTGTTTTGCTTCCGATGCTTTCTGCCTGCGATGGCTCCGTGAGCGCTCAGAATGACAAGCAGCGGGGGATCGCCAGGCTAGTAAGGCAGAGGAAGCCAGGAAGGCCGCGAAGGAGGCTGCGAAGGCCAAGAGGGCAGCTGAGGCTAAGAAGGCAGAGAAAGCCAGGTTGGCGGCCGAGGAGAAGGCAAGGGCGGCCGATGAGGAAGCCAGGAAAGCAGAGGAGACCAGGAAGGCTGAGGAGGCCAGAAAGTCCGTGATCAACTTGGTAATTGGTGTTACGAATGATGATGATGATGATGATGATGATGATGATGATGATGATGATGATGGTGATGATGATGATGATGATGATGATGATTATGATTATTATACTGATGATGATGAGGAGGAGGAGGACGAGGATTCTGACGTTGATTATGGTGACTTCGATGCCGACGAGGATGACGAAGTTGATGGTGCTGAGGTTGATGAAGATGCTGATGTTGATGATGACGACGATACTGATGCTGATGCTGATGATGATGTTGATGGTGAGTCTACCAATGGCGATGCTCCTGATGATTATCGTGCTGACGAAGCTGATGATGGCGATGACGACGACGGCGACGATGACGATGATGATGATGATGTTGATAGTACTGATGGTGATGCTGTTGATGACGATGACGGTGCTGCTGATGATGGTGATATTGATTATGTTGATGATGCTGATGATGATGGTGATGATGATGATGTCAATGCTGATAAGAGGGGGAGGAGGAGCAGAAGGATGATGATGCTGATGAAGATGCTGGTGGTGATCCTGCTGATGCTGATGATAATGCTGATGCTGGTGATGATGAAGCTGATGCTGATTCTCATGATGATGACGATGATGGCGATGGTGATGCCGCTGCTGATGATGTCGACGATGGTGATGCGGATGATGACGCTGCTGCTGGTGATGCTTGTGTTGCTGACGATGATGTTGAGGAGCAGGAGGAGGATGAGGAGTAGGCCTGCGCAGACGGCGGTACCTTGGCCGTCAATGACGCTTGGCAAGACCGAAGAGTGAGGAATAATGAAGCCATTCAAGAAAATCAGATGCCTCATTGACGTTGGTCTTTTCGGCCAGCCCCTCGGGCCCCCCCAGACGGCCAAAGGCCGCCAAGAGCGCCTCAGGACGGCCCCGTCTGAGCATGTTGGAGATTGAGGCCCATGGCCACGCTCTGGATGCCTCTGGGAAAGTCACGCGAGGAGTCCCAAGAGCGTGCGGGAGCGCACGAGAGCGCTCAAGATAGCCTGTTTCGGGATTCGGGCGTGGAGCAATGAGGGTGCGATAAATGGGGGAGGGATGAAGACAGGTGCACCTTTCGTGCCCTGAAGGGACCCTGAGGGCCCCCTGGGGCCCAACAGGGGCACGACGGGTGCACGTTCCCCCCTCCCCACCTGCAGGGGACCTGAGGGCACAGGCACGGCTGTGGATTCACCTGTCTGCATCGCGTTCCCAATCATATTGCCAATATACATATAACGGGGGACTGGGTCCAGCGGCCGGGGGCTGGAGCCTCGACCGCAAATGTGAGGCCCAGGGCCCGGGCCCGCCTCTGGGAGGCCTAAAATCGCCCCGGGGAGCCCTCAGACAGCAATCCCAGCGGCGAGGCCGGCGCTGGTGCTGCTTGCCCAGGGACGCGCTGTCATTGGCTCCCGCCGCCACCGCCGGAACGCCGCGTGGCACGCTCAGCGAGTCCCGCCAGGCGGATTCGCCCATGCGTCCGCGGCGGACATCGCGCGGGCCTCTGCAGGCTCCAGGCTCGGCAGAGGCGGCGCTGAGCCCACCTCGTGCGGAACCACGCCGACAGTGGGCGTGCAGCTGGACGCACAGGCCCAGCGCGTGGACGCCTCGCCCCTCCCCGCTGGCGCACCCCAGGAGGCTGCTGCTGGCATCCTTGCCCAAGCGCGCGCCCCTCCGCTTCGACGCCTCTGCCTTTGCCCGCAGCCTCGGCGTCGCCAGCGCGCGCGACGCCCCCGACGAGTGGCGGAGGAGGGCGGCCCTGCAAGGGGCGAGGCTGCAGGGGGCGAGGCTGCAGGTCCTCCTCGGCGAGTCCTTCGCGCAGCAGTTCTGAGGGAGCAGCCGGCGAGCAAGACCCGCAACTGGACGGCTTCGTTTCTGGCTCGTCGGACTGGCGTTCGTTGGCGGCGCAGGGGGGGGGGGGGGGGGCGTGCCGGGGCTGCCCCGAGCCAGCCGTCTCCGGCGGCCTGCGCGCCCGCGCGAGCCGACCTCTCAGCAGGCGCCGTCGGCGTCCCTGGCTCCTCGTGGCGCCAACTGCCCCGAGGCCCCTCGTTCGCGTCGGCTCGAAGGTGCGTGCGTGGCCAGACCTTCGCCGAGTCCGGGCTCATCGGATCGGCTTGGGCTCATCGGATTGACTCGGTCTACATTTCGTTTGGTTCGGCGGCACTCGCCCCCGTAGTGCCTGTCCTGTTGCCGCGCCTCGCCCCCGCGAGCGTTTATAATTTTACCTCGCCGCGGTGGGCATCGCCCGCCCCCGAGGCGGCGGCCGCGCCCTGGTGCGCCCCCTGATATCTCCTGATATATCCTCCTCCTCCCTCCTCCTCCTCTTCCTCCTCCGCCCCCTCCTCTTCCTCCGCCTCCTCTTCCTGTGGTCCTCGGATGGTTCTCGGGGGCCCTCCCCCCTGGCTCCAGCTCGGGGTCGCGGGTTGCGGGCAGCTTGCGGACCTTGCGCGCGGACGCGCAGTTGTGCTTGGTGTCGCGCGCGCGCGGGCGCCCCGCAGCCTTCCGCGGGCCTCCCAGGGCTTGCCAGGGCAGCCGCGCCTCGCGCCTCGCCGTGGCCTGGGCCGAGAAGGGGCTGGCACCTCTCCCAAGGGGGGAGGAGGATGGGGGGGAGGAGGAAGAGGAGGAGGAGGACGACGAGGAGGAGGAGGAGGAAGAGGAGGAGGAGGAGGAGGAAGAGGAAAATGGGGAGGGGGAGGGCGGAGGGGTAAGCTGGGTGCGCTCGCGTGGCATCTGACGTCCAAGACGTAGATCTCTTTTCAATTTGCACAGCCGGACGTCGTAGCAGGGCATGGCATTACATGGCATAGCGTGGTGGTGAAGATCAACGCGTAGCCTGACATAGCGTGGCGTGGCGACGCCCCAAAATGTGGGGTACTTTCGCGGCCCCAAAAATCCACGAATCGACGCCGAATGTGGAATCACTCCCGATGGCTGTTTCGGTTGGGCATTCCTTAGATTTTGAAGCTGATTTGGAAGGACCGAAAACCATGCCGTGGCACGGCTCTGGAAATAGTAACGCCAGCGCTGCAGCGGGAACACGATTTGGAACGAACGGAAACGCGGAAATGAGGCCAGCGATGCATCGGGAGCACGATCCAGAGGACGAGCGCTGCAGCGGGAACACGATCTGGAACGAACGGAAACGCGGAAATGAGGCCAGCGATGCATCGGGAGCACGATCCAGAGGACGCGTAGCCTGACATAGCATGGCGTGGCGGCGATCAATATCGAGGGAGGGCTTCTGCAACCCAGGAAATCAACGAATCGACACCGAATGCGTAATCATTTCCGATGGTTGTTTCGGGGGGGGGTCCTTAGATCTTGAGGCGTATTTGGAAGGACCTGAAACCATGCAGCGGCATGGTTCTAGAAATAATGACGCCAACGCTGCAAATGGAGCACGACTGAGAACGAACAGAAGCGCGGAAATGATGCCATCGCTGCAACGGGAACACGATTCAAAACGAACGGCAACCCGAAAAGGAAGGCAGCGTTTCAGCAAAGCAGAATTTTGAAACAAGAACAAGCGAGAGTAGTATTCATATTGTTTAATTGTGGAGGAGGAGGAGGAAGAGAAGAGAAGGAGGAGGAGGCGGAGGAGGAGGAGGCGAAGGAGGAGGAGGCGAAGGAGGAGGAGGAGGAGGAGGAGGAGGAGAACAACACCGATAACTACCGCTGCCCTTCCCTCGCCGCCACTGTCAGATTCGCCCCGGCACTCTGGCCAGGGTCCCGGGAGAGGTCTGGGGCACGCCCCCCCCCCCCCACCAGAAGGGGGTCGCGTGGAAGCGCGAAGACCACCAAGCTTTGCGCACCCCACGATCCGATTGCGAACAAATGGCAACTTGGCGAAAATCACGACTGGAACCCCAGAGCCCATCTTTGTGTGTAATTTTTCGAGCCGGATCGATCTGTGAGGGTCCCAGGGCCCGAGATCGGGCGAGAACGCCCGGCGTGGAAAAGTTGCACGCCGGGATCTGCGGGCAGCGCGGACCGCGAAGTTGTGCGTCGGCGACAGCGCGGGCATGCCCCCATGTTCGGGAACGGAAGGTAGACATAGACACTAATACGTCGCTTGCCAGGAAAATGGGAATTGATGGGAAGTAGTGGGGAATAACACCGAGAAGATATGAGGAACTATAGGGGGATCCTGGGTTTTGTGTCGAGGAGGGAGGAGGGAGGAGGGAGGAGGGAGGAGGAGGAGGAGGAAGAGGAGGAGGAGGAGGAGGAAGAGGAGGAGGAGGAGGAGGAGGAAGAGGAGGAGGGAGGAGGAGACGGCCGCTGACAGCGCCGACGCTGACGGCCTTTCTGTTTCCTTCTTCCTGGTGGTGGTGGTGGTTGAGGTGCCCGTTGCCGCCGAACGCGCGAGCTCTGGTCCGGTCCTGTGGCCCGACGGTCCTATTCAGACACTACGTCCGTCGCGCCTCGCGCCTGGGCCCCGCCGCCCCGGCGCGTTGACAAGGTTTTAACAGCTTTTCGCGCCGCTACCAGCAGCCAGGGCGAAGTCACCCCGCTGCGTTCACTTCATTGGAGGAGGAGGAGGAGGGAGGAGGAGGCGGTGGAGGGGGACGACGACGACGACGACGACGGTTCGGAGGAGGATCAGGTATGGTGTGGTATGGGTTGGCTCTGAGGGCGATGTCAAGCCTGAGTCAAGACTCGAGCTCCGACTCACGATCGGTCTCGTCGCAGTCGTCGCCCGCCGAACGCTCGAGGGCCAGGTGCCCGAGCTCGCGGACCGCGGTGAGGCCGCTCTCCCATAGCCCCAGCGCTCGCAGCAGCTCCGTTCGCCCTCCCAGGTCGGGAGCAACGCGTGGCCTCGCCACCGGAAGGATGCACGTGCAAAGTCCTCCCACCCCTCGCCCACCCCGTACCCGAGCTGGTGCGACGGACCTCGCTCGGTCCAATTAGCAGGCGGGCTCGGGCTCTGGTCGGGCTCCTGAGGCTCGGGGTCCACACATTCAGCCTCGGGGCCACGCGAACGCCAAGATGCCTCAATCGTCATCATTGCCGATTTCTTCAGCATCAATGTGGACAGTGGCAGCCCAGCGGGCCGCTTCGGCCGCCAGTTCCTCGGAACCGCGTCAGAGCTCGTATTGGTCACTGCCTACTCCGTGCAGGGCCGCTCCCTGCTTCGCCAGGCGGTCCGCGTGGGCGTTATCCTTGAGCTCCATGGGGGCAGTGCGCCTTCGTCTTAAACATCTGGAAGTCGTCTCTGGTGAGCGCTCCTCGGAAAGGACTCCACATATGGGCCTTCGCGCAATTGCTTGAGGTCCCCCCACCCGCCCCAAGGCGGTGCGACCCAACAGTGCCTGCACAGTCGACGAACACATTGCAGGAGGGTAAAGGCACAAACTTGCAGCATCGAGATCGCATAGTCCTCTGCATCTCGCACTGTCTGCTTAGGGCAAACGCTGAGGGGCAGTGGCCTGCACGCAGCTGTAACTGTGTTCCCGAACTCATTGGTTCGACCACCCATCTCGGGCTGCAAAGAGGGGCATCCTCCTGCAAGGCCGAGCCATAAGTACAAAGAGTGCCATTCAGCGCGGGCCTGTTGTGTATGGGCTGCTCGGGCTCCCCTGGCACTGGGAAGACCCATTCCGGCGAAGGGAGCAGGCCTTGAGCGAACATCTCGCCCAGGAGGAGGAGGAGGAGGAGGAGGAGGAGGAGGAGGAGGAGGAGGAGGATGAGGGCAGCCGCCAGTTTCCCGGCCGGATGGGCGCCGCTCGAAGCTCCTTTTCGGGCTGAGTTTCTTTCTCTCCTCCCGTTCCTCATCCTCCTCCTCCTCATCTCATCCTCATCCTCTCCCTCCTCACCCTCCCCTCCTTCACCGCCTCCTCCCATCCTCCTCCTCCTCCTCCTCCTACTCCTCCTCCTCCTCCTCCTCCTCGGCATGGGTCCGTAGCCATTTTGGCTCAAGATGTTTGATGTGGAGGCTTTCAGCCTCCAGGCCTGCAGGGATTGCTCTACCGAGCACGCGCAAGACGTTTCAGTCTGGAGTCGGGCGGCGCGGCGCGGCGTGCCATGGCTCCTGGCGGCAGCGGCGGCGGACAACCTGGTGGCCCAGCGGCTTCGAAGAACTGGAAGTGCACGTCGTGCGGCGACAAGAACTTGGGATGGCGTGCGCAGCGCAGGCAGTCTGATTGCTGCGCGTACCGTCCAACTCCTCACCTTGTGCCTGGCCCTCCTGGCGGTGTGCAACCCCTGCAAGGCCGCTGGCAGAATGGGCCCCCTGTCGACTGGGCCTGGGCGGGGGCCTAAGCTTCAAGTCGATCGAGGCGCAGGTGACGGAGGCGGTGGCAAAAGCTACGGCAAGCGCGGATCTCCTGGAGGTGGAGGCGGTGGCAACGGCGGGGGCTCAGGGAAACCAGCTCAGCCGAAGTACGTCACGCCCACAGAGGAGGTGCGCAGCAAGTATCTGGAGCTCAGCGACGCAGACTTCGCAGTGTTCAGTTCCTTGTGCATCTCTCCTGCCGACCAGCACTCGCTACGGCAGGCCAGGCTTTGTTGCAGCAGCAGCTTGGGTGGCTCTTTCCCAACAAGGCCATCAAGAGCGCGCAAGTGCTGGCTGTCGAGGCGGGCAAGAAGCTCTCGAGGGCAAGGGAGGACGGCGAGCGCAAGGATCAAGTAGCAGCAGCAGATGCAGTCTGTGCCACGATCAAGCAGCAGAAGTACATCCAGGAATTGGAGGTCGAGGTCAAGCAGGCTGTCGCCAAAGCCAAGGAGGTCAAGGAACGCGAGGAGCTCGCCAACCAGCTGAAGGCCGACGAACACGCTATGGAAGCCGAGCCCGAAGCCCAAGAAGACGCTGTTGCAGCAGCCTTGGCAATCAGGCACGGCTACTTGGCGCAGGTGGTGGTCGACCAGCTGGACGGCGTCGATCTGGGGAAAGCAGCAGGGCCTCTCCAAGATCTTCTTCGGTCTCTGGCAGCGGACAACGCTACCCCGCCCGAGGCAGCCAAGCGCGCGGCCCAAGCCGCCCCATCTCCTGTGGCAGCAGGAGACAAAGGCGGCAAGGGCAGCGGCAAGGGCAAGGGCGGCATCGACTACGACCCCTACGCCGGCGTGGAGCTGGAAGACATCACGCAGTTCCAGTTCACCACGGACGCGTTGGAAGCTGCTCTGGCTGAGTTTAGCGACGGCGACGGCAAGAAGCGCGAGGTGCTCGAGCTTTTCGCCGCTACGCTGGGCAAGAAGGCAAGGTTGGGGCAATGGCAACGAGGGGGGGGGATGTTCAGGGTGTGCACTGTCGACGTGAGTGCCTATGGGAACCTGGGCAACTGCATGAGCGGGTCGGTGCCTGACAGTGACCCGGTCAGAATGCAAGAGACCCGGCTTTCGGCTGCACGCGCGACGGACGCTGAAGGGGGTCGTCGTCGTAGGGGATGGCGAGCAACAGGAGCAGCAGCGGTGCCTTCTGAAGCAGGTGGGCTTGCAACAGGAGGACTTCCGCGGACTTCCCACGTTATCCCGCATGTCTCATGGGTTGGCGCCTATGTTAGGCTCACCGCAACCTAGTTTTCGCGAAGGTCGAGCTTTTGCGCTTCATGTGGCAGGGCTTCTGCCTGGCTGCTGCCTGGAGGGGTAGTAGTGGTGGATGCGTGCCCGGAGAGCGGCGTTGGCGTCAAACCACACAACGACACGATACTCAAGGACGTGGCAAGAAGGCTACGAGAATACGGCAGGCCACATGTGATTGGTGGTGATTTCAGTTGTGCGCGCGAGAAGCTGATGGCGAGTGGCGTTCTGCGCTTCTTTCGTGGCAAGATCGCGGGCGCGCTCGCTCCGACGTGCATTCAGTCGATGAGGGCGATTGGCTTTTTCATTGTCGCAGGGCCTAGAGGCGCGCAACATCGAGGTGTAGGAGGACTTGGCGGCGTGGCCACATCGGCCTGCGATGCTCTCGCTCAAGGCGGAGAAGAAGAGGAAGTACCTCAAGCTGGTCGTGTTCCCGAAGGCGTTCCCTCGGCATCGACCGATCGGTTGCAGCAGCAAAGACCACGAGCCAGACTGGACCAAGGCAGCCGAGCGAGTTCATCAGACGGTGGCCCAGCCAGGACAGCTTTCAGGGGCGCGGCAGGCCTTCATGGAGCAAGCTGAGAATGAGTGGATTGACGTCCACCAGAGCAGCGAACATCAAGGTAAGCACCGAGGTCGAGGACACGAACCACAAGTTCGACAGGTGCGAGACTTTCCAGTTCCAGGGTCTCGCTGGCCTCGTGTGTCTGCAGCGGCTACCTGGCTGCCTGGCTGTTCAGGGTGGCGAACGAACTGCTGGCGACGCCCGTGCTGGAGCAGCTTTTCGCCCGTCGCCAGGCACTACGCGGTGTGCGCAGGCTGTTGCCCAAGGCGCCAAGTTCGTCCAGGGTAAGCCCCCCTGGCCGCGAGGCCCCGCCGTGCTCGCGCCCCGGGGCTTCTCCTGTGGCGAGCCCGTGGTGGCACCCGCTCAACAGCTTGCGCTCGTGCGCTGCGGACGTGGCTACGCTTGCAACTCTGGGATCTGGCGCCAAGCGGGCGGCCGCAGAGATCGCGGACTTCGACGCGGCCGGGCGTGGCAAGAAGTTCGAGGACTGGGTCGAGAAGCAGTCGTTGGGTGGAGGTGGAGGCCTCCACGCTCTCACTGAAGTCCCCGCTGGCTTCGACCCCCGCCCTGCGGGGGCTGGCGCGGGCGACCAGCCCCACGCGTCGACGGACCTGGCGGGCGAGGCCAGCGCGCTCGAGATGGAGTTGAGCCGTTGGCGGCGTTGCGGTTTGCTTCGGGAAAAGATCCGATGGCCGAAAGATCTTGGTGAACGACCGCCGAAGCCCACCCTCGACGAGTTGAAGAGAGCGCTCGTGACCTTTCCTGTGCAGACGGGCACGTCCTTCGACGCAATCAGCCCGAGGCGGCTCCTCGAGCTGAGCGACGCTGTTTTGGGTATACCGGCTGTCATCATTTCTGCGATTGAGCATGAAGCGGAATGGCCCGAGTGGGTGGTTTGATACCAGTCACCAGAGAAGTGGCAGGCGCAGTTTTTCGTTTGCAGACGTTTTTGGAAGCAGTGGATCTGAGGGTGGCAGCCTCCAAGTCCAGGGCCCTGGCCAACGTCCCAGAAGCCAGGCGCGCAGTCGAGAAGAAGCCCGGGGGTCCGATGGGCATGAAGTTGGTGGCCACGGATAGAAACCTCGGGGTAGACTTCGCGCGTGGACGTCGAGTGCCTCGAGCCGTTCGTTGTGTTAAACTGGCAGCAGCGGGGCTTCGGATACGGCGGGTTTTCTTGCTCGAAGGAGGTGCGGGCAGACGACGAGCAGTTCGCAAAGTTGCTCGCGTTGGCTTGGAGGCCTCGGTCAGCTATGGTTTCAACGTGACAGGCTGCGCTTCAGAGGAGCTGAACAAAGTCCGAAGCTAGGTTTTCGCCGCAGTGGCGCCGACGACTGCAGGGCGTTCTCGATCCTTGACTTCGATGCTGGCCACGGCCTCGGACCCGATGATCAGAGCTACGGCGTGCCCAGTCCTGACTCTGCCAAGGGCGGTCTGGGAGCAGTGGATACCGCAGCACATCGCGGAGTACTGCCTGGGCAACTGCCAAGCGGAGTTTTGGAGCCAGGTCAAGGGCAGTTTGTCAGCAGTGCGCATGACGTTGGCGCGTGTCGGTTGGACCATCCTCAAGCCGAGTCTGTGGCAAACGCATGAAGGAGTTCAGGTGCAGGTGTTTGAGGTTTCCCCTTGGGCCGTCAAGCGATTGCTTTGGAGAGCGATTGAAGCATGGCAATGGAACCAAGTAGGCAAGCAAGAGGGGTTACAACATCTCGCCGCTGGAGGTGTTCTCGAACCACTTGTGCGACTTACGCGCAGCGGCGCCGCCAAGTTGAATGGTTCTCTCGGCAAGCAAGGCGTGTCCACGGTGGATGTCAAGAAGGTCCAAGCGCCTGCTGTTTGCGCAGCTGCGGTGCCAGTTCTTACGCCGGCGGTGCCCCTTGCAGCTCGTCAGAAAGATGTTATGGCAGCAGTTCCTGTTCCCCGTGGCGGCCGCGTTCAGGATGAAGGCGTCGAGGCGTCATGAAGCCAGTGCAGGTGTCAGCTACCTCGTTGGGCGATCTTCGGCAAGCTGTAGGCGCACGTTGGTCAGGTTTGTTTCGCAATTTATCTGGGGACGTTTGCAGCTGCGCAGGGGAGGTGCAAGAAGGCTCCACTCCAGATGACGGTGGTCCGAGTGGAGTTCCCGGTGCTCTGCAATTCGTTGGTCTAGCGTGTGTGGCAGAAGGTGGCGAGTTGCGTCGGGACGCTGCGTCGCCACGCACGGGCACAGGCCTGTCTGAGTTTTCCGTCGCGTGGATTGCTCGAGCAAGCCCCGTCCGATCACCGAATGCAGCTCGGAAATCGCAGCCTTGCTGAGACCAGCAAGGCCGTTCTGAAGGCGATCAGGCTGGCGGCGAAGGAAAGGGGCTACTTGGAATCTTTGGTGCAAGGAGGACAAAGGTCTCAAAGCCGTAAGTACGAATGTGGATATGCAGCAGATCCTCTGCGCCTCATGCGCGGCAAGTTGGGGGGCCCTGCTACGTCGGCATTGTGAATGTGAAGGATGGCCCCCCAGAGCTTCGTCTATCTGATCCAATAGCTAAGTTGGTTTCGCGAGCAGACGAGGCACCTGCGCGTTGTCTTCTTGAACGTGGGCTCTGGCCTATGCCACAGGGTATTGCACTGCCTCCAAAAGCTGATCATGTGTGTTGGCTTGGTCAAGGAGCTGCTGGTTGGTTGCCGTCAGGGGCGCTGTATCTGGGTGGCTCAGCGTACGAGGGGGAGCTTGAGAGGTACAGCGCAGTTGAATGGGCCGTAGTGGCATTGAAGACTACTTCAGATGAGCTCGACGTTGGGATCTCAGGCGTGCAGAACGAATTTGTCGTGGACATGGAGGCGAGTTGGCCGCCTTGCTGCGCTTGCTCAAGTACGCGGCACCTCCAGTGACTGCCGTCACCGACAGCTCGTTCGTGATCAAGGGGCTCGCGGAGCACGGGCCAGCCAGGACCGCCGCCGATGGGCATGCTTGGGCCGACTTGCGGAAGCAAGTTTGGTACCTGGTGGAGGAGTTTGGAGGTCTTGGCCCCGGCGGGCTCACGGTAGTCAAGATTGCGTCACACGTGCCCAAGGAGAACCTGCAGGAGTGCGACCTCAGCAACAGGGACTGGCCTGGCAACAAGTACGCGGACATAACAGCGAAGAGCGCAGCGGCCTCCTGCTGAATCCGTGGAGCTGACCGCAATCGCCCACGGGACGCTCATCAACTCGCCGAGGGTGTTGCGACGTGGGCCGCACCAGTTGGCGCCAGCACTGGCGGTGAGGACACGACGCATCGGAAGTCGAAGCCTAACAAGCCAGCGCCGAAGTCGGCATACAAAGCATTTTCAGAAGCTCTTCGGCGCGACCTGCGTGGAGAGCCAGGAGAACGCTGGCGCGCAAGATGCAGGTGGCCTGAGAGGAGCTCGGAGTGTTCTGGCGACATCGTGTCTGCAGCGTTGGCCCTCAACCTCAAGCTGCGCAAGCCGCGCATGCTGGTGAAGTTGACGCTTGTTCGAGACGCAGAGCTCACGAGGGACCTTCCGCTCGTGGCTTGTGCGGCCTGTGGGGCAGCTGCCTCCTGCAAGCAGTCAACCTTCGGTCGAGAATGTGGACGCCCCAGTGCCAAGGGGAAGCTAGCCGCGGCAAGGCTGGCCACAGGACTTGCGCCCACCGTTTCAGCGAGAGTCATGGTCGACTTGAAGAGGACTGGCGATGGAGACGGTCGTCCTGGCGCACCTGCGGGAGTGCCAGGGGCTGTCGGTGAGGGGGGTGGTCGTCCTGGCGCGCCTAGGGGCATACCAGGGGCTGTCCATTCTGGTGTGCAGTGTATGTCGGGCGGAGAGCAATGTGGCTCTGCCGACCCGACGGGGGTGGGCCTGCGCCGCGACTCCGCTTGCCAGGACCAGAGTACGTCGGGCGGAGGGCGTTGGAGCTCTGCCGACTCGACGGGGATGGGCTTGCGCCGCGACCCCGAGCGGGGCCGCTCACCGAGAAGGGCGACTTCGGGTTCGCGAAGCAGGACTTCATCACGGTCGGGGGGCCCCACCTCGCAAGGGGGGCCTCCCGCGGACGCGCCCGCGGCCGCGGGAGCGCGTCGGGCGGTCGGCACCGACCGCCCTAGGACACGCCGATCCTCCTCGGCATGGAAGAGAGGGGTCCTGGAGGCAGCGGCTCTCCTGGATGTGCCTTGTTCCGCTCCCTCGATGGCCCCAGGGGAGTCTCCCCCGACTGCCCCGGACTCTGCCAACAGGGGGCGATGCAGCTCTCCAAGACGCAGTTGGAGCCGCGTGTGCTTGCTCTCTTCCAGACGCCGACGGATGAGGGCGCGTGGTCTCTCTAACACGTTGTTGAGGCCCTGGTCGGCTCCCAGCTCCGCCAGCGTTGCGCTCAATTCCATTAGCTGGAATGCGAATGCTCTCTTCCATCACCACCCTCCTACAATATCTCAGAAGTTCAATTACCTCGCCTCCCTCATGTCTCCGACGAGTGTTGTGGCAATCCAAGAGACCCACGGCACAGAAGAATAAGCTCGTAACTTGGTTCATTTTGTTCACAAGCCGCACGAGTGCCACACCTGCTTCAAGATGATCCCCGCCCCGTCATCTATAGAGGAGGACGTGGTCTGCATTCCTGACCCGTGCGCTGCAGGTGCCATCACGCTGATCCCTCGTGCATCGAATCCAGAGGTTGTCTTGGAGACGTCTCCTGAGGTTCTGGTCCCCGGCCGTGCATTATGGGCAATCATGGTTTTTGATGACGGAGACTCCTGGGCCGCCCATTACAATATTCACTATCTTGGGCTTGCCACAGAGCAAAAGAAACATATTACGAACCACATCGAACATCATCGTGAGATGGCCGCCGAAGATCCCCAACATAAACTTGTCGTCGTCGTGGGCGGCTTCAACGTAGCTGCCGCCCCGCCGATCCCCGTCGACCCTGCCCAGTTCCAGGACCCTGGCATAGGTTGCCAGACGTGGCGAGGCACGCAGGACGCCGTGTGGCGCAAGTGCTTCTCTTCTTTGGTTGAGATCCAGCAGCAGGAACCGACTCGCATCTACGCCCCAAATGCCACGATGAGCACCATAGATAGGGCGTTCACTTCGCTTCCTGCTCGGGTGGCCTTACAGCTGAATATTTGTGGCCATGCCTGCGGCCTGGCGGAGGTGGTCTACTCTAAGAAGCTTCCAGACCACGCTGCTATCATAATGGACTTCAGAGTTGCCTCAAAAAAAGGCCCCGACTCCAGAGGCATCCAGAAGGATGTATTTGAAACCGACACGTACCATATATTCATGAAGGCCCACCTGGAAGCCAGCAACATCGAGAACCTGCCCCCCCCCCCCATCAGGCTGCTGCATTTTAAGTCGCTCTTGAAGGAAGCGGCCAGGTTTGCTCGCAATAGTCTGCTGCATGGTGCACACGGCGCTCAGGATAGCTCTTCTCTCCTGGGCAGAATTATTTCATGCAGATCTACTGGGCGAGCTGTATGGCGACAACACTTTCGACTCGGCTCTCGCCTCGTCGGCGCGTATCCCCATCGCCGCTCGCTTCTTGGACATCTGTCAGGTTTCGAGGCGCCTTTGGCTCAATGAGCCTGCAGCTTTTTCGGAGATGCTGGACCGGTTGGAGGAGCAATCGCACTTCGAGAAACTCAAGAGGCTGTCCCAGAAAATTTCGAAGATTCCTGATGGTTCGGAACGTAAGCGGCTCCGCCAGCGACTCCAGAGATTTCAGAAGAGAGCTCGTCTGCGGGCCCCGTTCGACAAACGACTTTTCACTCGAGGCATCCGAGAGGACGAGCAGGTGGTCACGGAACCGCCTGATATGGCTGCTAGCATTTCTGGATACTGGCGTGAGGTCTTAAGCGACAAGTCCACGCCTCATGCGCCTGCCCAGGCCTGCATAGAGCGGTTCACGTCGCACGTCGACTTGGGCCAGATCCCACCGCCGTCGCAAAAGCTGATGTCTGCTGTTTTGCGTCGCTTCTCGCGCAGTGCACCTGGTCCTGACTGCATTCCGTACGCTGGTTGGCAGAAGACCCCGCGGGCTCTGGAGGTTCTGACTGAGATGATGTTCTGGCTCCTGGACGGTGGATGGGCGATTTCAGGATTCAACGATCTCCTGGGTATTTTTTTATCCCTAAGGGCGAGGAGGAGGATGATTTTGCTGGTGGAGGGTGCGTTCGCGAATGCAGTCAGCTTAGACTCCTGGGCCTCAAGAGCACCGACAACAAAATCATCACCGCCACGTGTATGGTCTCGTTCTCCAGGGAGTGGTCCAAGGTTGCCAACGGCCTCCAGTGGGGCTTCATCCAGGGGCGTCAATTTGGAACCAATTTATTGAAGTGGACGCGCACGCCCGAGCCTATGCCATGCAACCCAGCGCAGAGTTGGACCTACCTGCGCTGGTCGCGTTCGATTTTGCACAAGCTTTCTCATCGGTTTCTCACCGATGGATGCGTTTGATGTTGAAGGCCATTCGCCTGCCAGAAGCGTTGGTCGACTTTCTGGTGTTGCTGTGCAAAAGGGTCAACTGTTTCTCGGAGTTCGGGGGGGCTTCCGATTTATGTGTCCGATTATGTCTAGGATTATCCAGGGCTGCCCGGCGTCTGGAACGATATTCGCTGTCTGCATGGACCCCTTTGTTTGCGACTTCGACTTTTCTATCGAGTCGAAGGCACGGGGCATTGTCCGCCTGTGCGCGGACGACGTCGGGGCCGCCATTTTGAAGCTGCAGTTCATGGTCCAGCTCGTCAGGATTTTCAACGACGCCGACAAGATCGCCGCTCTCGTGCTGAAGACCTGCAAATGCAATGTCCTGATGCTTGCTGGACCGTGCTCCGAAGCCCTCGCTAATGAACACAAGCAGCGGTTTTCTTCTCTGGTCCCATCCTGGTCTGGATTCAAAACCGTCAGTCTACTGAAGACTGAAGTACATTGGTATGTTCCTGGGCCCTGAGGCAGAGCTTTGTTGCTGGTTAGCCCCGTTATTGAAGTGGCGAGCCCGCGCATGTTAACTGTCTGGAGTCGGCGCGGCCTCGACAGTTTCATCCAATGTATATTCTTCCCGCGCGGCCTCCGCCCTTTCCTACGTGGCGCAGTTTGTGCCGACGCCGGCTGACCTGCCCCGCTACGGAGCGGCCGTGCTCGCCCGCGTCTTCCATGTGCCGTATTGCGGCTTCGCTCGAGTTGCGTGGTATAACTGGGGAGAGCGGGGAGGTCCGAGGGTGAGATCATTGGAAGTGGCATGCTTATCCGCCAGAATTCGCGCAGCATCGACGACGTTCGAGCGGAGAGACTCCCTCAACTTTCTCTTTCGGGCTGCCCGACGGCAGCGACCCATCGTGGAATGGCTGATGGGAAAGTATTCGCTTCCGCATTGGAAAGCCAAGGCGCTGCGCCAGCACTTCGCAGATGCATTCCACGGGTTCCCAGAGCCCAAGCGATACCCGCGATCGAAGGATGTGGTTTCTGAGCTCCAGAGGTCATTTCGCGAACATGTTTCCCAAGGTCTGAGCCCCCCAAAAAACAAGCTTCAGAAGCAACTTGTAAATAAGCTGACGCCCATATTTTATCCTGAGCCCCCGCCAACTCTGTTTAGGGCTCGTCTTCTTGACTGGTTCCCTGGTGGGAGGCCTCGCATCCTTGCCGTCGAGTGGGAGTCCGTTCGTCTTGCTCTTGCTTCCTTGCCAGTCTCTCCGGCCTCGGCCGCCGCTCGGACGTCATCGAAAAACTGGCTTACTCAGTGTAGGTTTCAACAGACATCGAATGCGCACTGCATGCTGGGTTGCACGGAATGTATGCGTGGCTCAGATAGTATGGAACATTGTTGGCAGTGCCCCATCTTTGGTTCTCTCCTTGTCTCGATCGTTGGTCCCCTCGCTCCGCTCCCTCTCGATCGCCTGGGTGTCGTCGCTCCGTCGAAACAGGCGATGCTGGTCCCCGCATGTGGATAGCTGCTGCACAATGAAATTCTTGCATAATCCCAGTGTGCTCGTCGCCCTCTCTCTTTAGCGGAGGCACAGGGCCTCCCCCCGACTGTCCGCCATGAGCTGCGGCGGTGAGCTCGAGCTGGTCACCCGCAGGACTGCCCCGCGCCCCCCTTTGGCCACGCGGCAGGAGGAGGAGGAGGAGGAGGAGGAGGAGGAGGAGGAGGAGGTGCCCGTTCCAAAAGAGCGCGGTGACGGTACCACCTCCTAAAGTGCACGGTAACTGCAACCCTGGGCCTCGCCCCAAAATCCACCGCCTGCGGTAGTCAACTCCTACTCACCCACCTCGTAGCCGTGTCATCGCAGCGCTCCATCTCGCCTTGCAGGCGAAGGCGTTGCAACGCCGCCTGTTGCTACCCGTTTAGACGCGCACCCACCTACCGACTTACCTCTGCGTCCCCCTGACTCCGCTTCCTGCGTACTTTTGAGGCCTCCTATTCCTCCTTCCTCCTTCCTTGCGAACAAGGGGTAAACCACCTGTGAGGACTAGAGGCGAACGCTTACTTTTCTTGCCCCTCCCCTCCTCCCCCCTGTTCCCCTTCCTCCCTTTCGTCCTTCCGTGTCCCTCCCTCTGAACGCTCGCCTTTTAAGCTTTTTTAAGTTACGGGCGAGGCCCTTACCACCCTGGCTGTTCTCTTCAGGCGCCCCCCTCCCCCCCCACCCTACCTAGGTCATTATGGTACCTCGTTTTCTACATGCTTGTCTCACCTTTTTTTCCAATGCGCCCCCACCTCCCCGTTGGGTTCAGCCGCGGGGAGGTGGCAGGACAGGTCTGCATGGCTACAGGACAACCGCGCCAGCCACGAGAGAGCGAGGACGGAGGGCGGAGGACGGAAGGGGAACCGGTCCTCTTCGCCCACCTCGCCCTGCCCCTCCCAAAATCGGAAGCTGGGCGGGGGCTGCTAAAGCCGTGGCTGCTAAAACGACCCTCCCGGAAGGAAAAAACAACTTCCCCGAATGAGGCGCGGCACGCGAAACGGTCAACGGGCTTCTTCCCGGACGATTTAGCAGCACCTGCCCAGCTTCAGGGGCCAGGATCTCCTTCCACCGTGACCCGCGCTCTTCACTGCAGCCGTTTTCCTCGCGATTCTCCTTCCCGTTGGTAAGTCCAGGTTTCGCTAGGGATTGGGTTCCCTGTGCAAAAAAGAAAGACCCTTCAAAACCATCCCGAAGCCTTCCGAAAAGTCTCCTGGAACCCTTCCCGCAGGGTTTGCAGAGTGTTTCGGAGGGTTTCGGCTGTTTTGGAGGGGAACCAGTCCCTAACGCAACCAGGACTTTCTAATTCTACCCCCCGATACTGTTCCGACCTTTGCCCGGACGTCTTCCAGCTGGCGCCCTGGCCGATCCACCTCGCGCTCTCGAGCCTGGGAGGCGAGCGGAGGCGGCAGACCCAGCGGGCAGGCCGGAGCGTGTCTGTGGAACTCTGCTGCGCGCCCTCCTCCCCGCCCACCTCTTTTGCAACGGCTGCTTCACGCATGTCGTACTCTCCGTCTCGCCCCGCACCATGTTCCGGCGCGCCCATCATGTTCTCAACATCCCGTGTTCCGCGCAGGCAGAAACGCTGGCTGAGGAAGAGGAGGCGCGGCGTGATGCCGAGGCAAAGCGCGCAGAGGAGAAGGCGAAGGTGGTCGCCAAGCGGGATTCCCAGAAGGATCTCGACAGGACTTTGCACAGCCAGGGGTGCAGGCTGGGGTTTTCGAGGTATACAGTTTGTTAACCTGGGTCGCGCATGGCTACCGCCTGGCTTGGAAGCGTTACAGATGGTGATGGATTCGGCACTCTAGAGTACATTCCAGGATCCAACGCGAGAGCTTTGGGGCGAGAACCAATCGCGTCCACGGTCTCGAAGGCACAGGCTCTGAGCGCAGTGCCACCTCCGAGCCACGGCCCGCGCGCTCGTTTGCAGCAAAGCCCGCCTTTCCTTCCTTGATTTTCCCGCCCGCCCGACTCGCCCGACCTTGCTCGTTTGGGTCCGCCCTGTCGGTTGCATAGAGAACCCGCCCGCCCGATTTAACGTCTGCCTTCCCAACCCGCCAGTTCATCAGGACCCGCCCGCCCGACCCGCCCGTTAGGGTCCGACCACTCACTCTCGTGTCGGTTTTAACGTTCTTTTCGTGCTCCTCGTCCTTCTCTTCGTCGTCCTCCTCAGTCTAGTTATTGTTACTGTCCTCCTCATCATCCTCCACGCCGTAATTTATTTCGTACTTCTTTCAGTCGTTTTCTTCGCCGTCCTCGTTCTCTCCCGCCTCGTCCTTCTCGTCCTTCTCGTCGTCCTCCTCGAGAGCCTCGTCCTCCTCGTCCGCCCCGCTCTTGCCTTCCTCATCCACACCGTCCTTCTCATCTTTTACGCTGCCGTCCTCCTACCCTTCCTCGTCGATCTCGTCGTCCACCTCAGCATCATTATCGTGCTCGTTCTCCTCGTCTTCACCTTCCCTCGTTCATTTTTCCCGGTCTTTTCGAATGTGTTTTTTCTCGCAGTTCTCGTGGTCTTCCTCGCTTTGAGGGGAAAGAAGCGGCTCGTTTTATTTGGTCAGGTTTTTTTGAGTGGGCCTTCCACATGGTTTCGGAGAGACCCCTAGATGGGTTACTCAGCCAAGTGGCCATGAAACGTTCACACTCTCTCATCTCTACATGGTGCACCTTCTCGTGGTATCTGCGATGTTTCAGTTAAGGATGTCAGATGCCGGGGACGAGAAGATGGTGCAGGCGATGGACGCCGACATCGATGAAGTCAACAGCCTGCTCCACGAGTTCGACGGCGAGGACTGCAGCAGCCTAAGCGCATGTTAGTTTGTCGCCTCGGCAGTGTAAACATGCCCCAGAGGTCTGCCTGCGGACACCAACAAGCCTGTGAGGGTTATTTCGGATGATACCACCTTCGTGTTCACATCGTATTCGTACGAAGCTGTGCGCCGTCCTCGTGCAATCCGTGAGCACCGAAGCTGTATATCGCTCGTGCTTGTACGCAAACGATAGCAAGCATTGGCGATGTTGATTATGTCCTTGGCGACAAGGGAGGCGGAGCCATCGTCGTCCGCGGGATCGCGTATGCGGTACAGGCTGCCGTCTCCTTCGTCTTCAGCAGAAGAAAGAGACTGTCAGGTCACATAACCCCCGCGCCGGTTTGCCCCAGAGGCCCACCCCCCATTTCCAGCGTGGAGACAGCCAGTGCAGGCTTGGGTGATTTATGGTCGACGGTTGGGGCCACGAGGAGGAGGAGGAGGAGGAGGAGGAGGAGGAGGAAAGGGAGGAGGTGGAGGAAGAAAAGGAGGAGGAGGAAAGGGAGGAAAAGGAGGAGGAGGAGGAGGAGGAGGAGAACCGTGTGTCTCTTCGGGGGCGAGCATCTGGGAGGCGACGGGGCCGGGGCCCCTGGGCCCCTGGGCCCCTGGGCCATGGCTGGGGCCAGGCCCAGGGCCAGGAGCGGGGGCAGGGGCTGGAGCGGGGGCCGAGGCTGAGGACGGGGGGCCAGGGCCGGGGCCCAGGCCGGCGGAGGGGGGGGCACCGCCGGGCTGGGGCCGGGGCCAGGGCTGGGGCCGGGGCCAGAGCTGGGGCCGGGGCCCGGGCCGGGGCCAGGGGCCGGGGCGGAAGCCAGGGCCGAGGCGGAGGTCTTCCTTCTCCACAGGGGGGGCGGTGTTTTGACCCGGGACCCACCTCCTACCCCCCCCCTCATTACCCCCCCCTACCCCGTCAGGGAGGGGAAAAGGGGAGGGACTCGACTTAACTACGACGTTTCTTTTACCACGTTTCTTCTCGCTGCTCGTTGTTTGAGTTCCTTTGGACTGGCGACGACGACGAAGACGACGACAGCGTCATATTCGGGAGTCCTGAATGACCAGCAGGGCACAGTTGTTCGCAATCATTGCTGCGTGCGCGATTTGGATGTGAGCATGCGTCTGCAGGCGTGTAGCGAGACACAGACACCGTTACCCTGCCACCCATGTCCCGCGTAATTGTTCCTTGCATCCGCGCCCCGATCTATCTTCCAAGATCGGTTGATCAGCTTACCCCTTGATGCTAGAGGCGCAAGCACGAAACGGTGTTGCATAGGCAACGGGGCGGCTGGGCATAAGTAACGAGGCGGCGCGGCCATAGCAATTTAGTGCCCCAATTCTGGCTGAGCTACTCTGGCCTAATTGGAGCCCAACTTCTGCCTTTACAATGTCTGCCAGTGTTTCAGACATATGTGGCAGTTCCTCGGAAGCAGCTGAGGAGGATCAACAAGTTTGTCAAATGATTGAAGAGGTTGATGCGGCAATTGAAAGTTACTGTGCAGATCCAAGTGTTTACACAATCGCGGTGTTTTCTTCTGGGATGAATCTCAAGCTGTGGCTCGTATGGACGTGCTCCTGTACTCTCCAGGTAGTGATGCCTTGGATTGTGGGTGAGGCGAAGTGGCCAGCCATAAAACACACATATGCCTTAGATGATGCGGATGGATTTTTCCCTTGTCCGAATGAGGCGGACTGGGGTGTAAAGCTTACGTGTGCAGTTGTGTCATGGTATCTATCGTCGACTTTGGTGTCGGCGCTCAAGCGAAGTTACGCAATGGCGGTCATACACTATGCAACCGCTTGCGGCAAGTCCGGTCACCGTGTCAGCCCATCATGCTCGAAGGGGGCTGTTCGAAGAACGTCAGAAGGCTGAAACGTGTGCACCGGGCCGAGTCATAAAGGTATTTTCTGCGTTGATGACTGGAGCAACCGTCAGAGTGCCGTCACATGATATGCCTTGGCCGTCGATCATTTGAGATCGGCCTGGGGCGGAGAAGGAGGATGAAGGAAACTATGATGATGGTGGTGGGAATGGAAAAGAGAAAGACGGACATACGCAGGAGAGCCTCGTAGTGGACGAGTGCGATGTAGAACATCATGTTGGTGATAGTGTTGAGGAGGAGGGGGAAGAGGAGGTGCAAGTGGTAGAAGATGAAGATGATGAAGAAGACGGTCGTTACTGATGGTCTTCTCGTCCTTGCTTTTGGGGAGCTTTGCCGGTGCTCACGTGGGCCATCTTGAGGCTGTCTTGGGCACCAGCGGGGCAGTCATGGGAGTCCCCTGGGGCCGTCTTGGCGCCCTCTTTTGGGCCGTCATGGGGCTCTCTTGGGCCGTCGTGGGGCTGCATTGGTCGTCTTAGGGGCGTCGTGCGGTCATCTTGGCGCGGTCTTGGGTCGTCGGGCCGCTCTGGGACGCTCTGGGACGCTCCGTGCGAACTCGTCCTGTCTAATCTGAGCATCACCTCGAGGAGGCAGGAGGGAGGGAGGGAGGGAGGGAGGAGAAGGAGGAGGAGGAGGAGGAGGAGGAGGAGGAGGAGGAGGAATGACTGAAAGGATTCCGATGGGGAAAGTGCACAGCACCAAAACTAGGTGCCAACAAAGCACCGCGGCATGACACATAGCGTCAGAAGGTCCACGAACCATGCGGGAACCACAGGCACAGTAAGGAACTGTCTCTCATGAGGGCAGTGTCGAACCTAGGCTGCTGCCTGTTCTTGGCGGGCGCCGGACCCCGAGACAGACATGGCCGCAGCAAGCCAACTACTAGGCATTACACTAATCTTGAGCGGGGTAACAGAAGGCTCGAACCCCTGCCCAACAAGTTGCCTCCTTTGGGTCAGACCGGGCAAGCCAGAAGCTGGATCCCCGAAACATGCAGGATCGGTAGCCCTTACCCTGCACCCCGCGTCGCTTCAATCATTGAACCCGCGGCGAAGAGCGCTCCAACCAAGGTGGTTGAAAGCTATATGCCGTGGAAGAAGGAGGAGGAGGAGGAGGAGGAGGAGGAGGAGGAGGAGGAGAGGGAGGAGGCTTTTGGCTGTTGGCAGTTACCTCAGGCAGTATGTGTCGAATGGAATGTCTGCGCCGTGTCCGTCTGCCGAGCCTGCTGGCGGGCCAGTTCCTGGACGGGTCGGCTCGCGTTGGCGGGTCGCTGGGCGGGGGTCGCAGCGCGTGTCTCACGGCATGCTGCTCCTCCCCGCCATTTCTGATTTCTCTCTTATCGAAGGCGAACTCGGAGGCCATCTTGGGCATCTTGGGAGCCATCTGGGAGCCATCTGGAGCAAGAGAACCTTTGAAACCGCCTCTGGGAGAGCTCTTCGGGTGGCCGGCGGGCTGGGCCGAAGCCCCATGGTATATTCTTTTGGATAAAGAACCAAAACCCCAAACGGTAGCGTCTAGCACGCCGGGCACCCTTGTGACAAGCACAGGGGGCGGCGGATCGAAGACGCCTACGGCGAGTCACCGCCGCCCCCTGCCTTTAGGAATCGCCGATGTGGCCGAGCGTTGCGGCAAGGGCTCTGCCAGTCTCTCGGACCATACGTTCCCCTTGCCGTTGCGGAAACCCGTTCGGGGAACATTTGGGAGAGGATGGCGGGAAATCAGGAGGCGGAGGAGGAGGAGGTACAAGGAGGGGGCATCTTGGGAGCGTCTGGGGGAGCTTCCTGGAAGCCTCTTGGAGGCATCTTGAGTGCCTCCTTGGGCCTCTTTGGGGCCTTGAGGGGGCTTCTCGGAGGCCTCTTTGGCCGTCTTAGGGCATTCCTGGCCCGTCTGACGCCGTCGGAAGCAGTCGTTGGGCCGACTTGCGGCCATCTTCGCGTGCTCCAGGGCCGTCTTGGAGGCCATCTCGGGTGTCTTGGAGGCCTCTTGGGCCGTCTTGGGGCCCCAAGGGGGCCTCTTGTGCCGTTCTGGGGCCATCTTGGATGCCTCTTGGGCGATCTTGAGGCGATCTTCGGGGGCTCTTGGCCGTCTCGGGCCGTCAGAGGGCCGGAAGGACGCGTATGCCAAAATCCGTCGCAAGTGTCAGGAAAACCAATGATGTTGGCCTCGTCGGGCCTTCCTGGAGGCCCTCTTGGAAGCCTTTTGGGCCATCTTGGAGACCTCTTGGGGGCCTCTTGGGCCGCCTTGGGCCATCTTGGAGCTATCTTGGGCCGTCTTGATGGCCCCCTGGCCCGTCTGACGCCGTCGGAAGCCGTTTGGAGGGCCTCTCTGGGCCGACTTGGGGCCCTCTTGGCGTGCTCCAGGGCCGTCTTGGAGACCATCTAAGGCGTCTCGCATGCCTCTTGGGCCGTCTTGTGGCCCTTTGGGGGCCGTCTTGGGGGCCTCTTGGGTCGTCTTGGGGCCATCTTGCAGGCCTCTTGAGCGATCTTGGGGCGATCTTCGGGGGCTCTTGGGCCGTCTTGGGTTGTCGGAAGGCCGAAAGGACGCTTCATTATGCCAAAATCCTTCAAACACCTTCTTGGAAAATCAATGATCCGTAAGGGCTTCGCCCCCTGCCGCCGGCCCCCTCTCTATCAGAATGGGATATATCAGAGTCGCGTCGGTGCGTCTCGGCGCTGCCTTGGCGCATCTCGGAAGATCATGCGGGGGCGGATGGGAATCATCAGCGCATATTGAGACGTTGGCGTTATCGAAAACGCCTACGGCGAATCACCCATCTTGGGCGAATTTGGAGGCCATCTCGGCCATCTTGCAAGCCATCTGGGAGCCATCTGGAGCAAGAGAACCTTTGAAACCACCTCTGGGAGAGCTCTTCGGGTGGCCGGCGGGCTGGGCCGAAGCCCCATGATATATTCTTTTGGACAAAGAACCAAAACCCCAAACGGTAGCGTCTAGCACGCCAGGCACCCTTGTGACAAGCACAGGGGGCGGCGGATCGAAGACGCCTGCGGCGAATCACCGCCGCCCCCTGCCTTTTGAAATCGCCCATGTGGCCGAGCGTTGTGGCAAGAGCTCTGCCAAGCTATCGGGCCATGTGTTTCCCCGAGCTTTTGTA